AACATTGGCGTTTATGGGCACCCCGCTTCCACATAGCGCCCGGCACCGACCGACTGATTTCTGACATGCCTTGTACGTTGGGGTTGTGGCCTACCCTTGGCTTGATACTGGATTCTGGCAAATCTAACCCTCCTACACTCCTGAGGTTCACAGCCTCCAATAATTCTCCGACGGTCACCTTCATCTTCCAAGATGATTTTAGCTACCTCTCCTCCCCCCTCCTGCCCCCCTCTCTTCCTCACCACCCCCATTTGCACCCCCATCTCTCCTCCATCCTCATTCCTCATCCCCCCTCATCCTCCTCCCCATGTTTTGCCCCTCGCCTCTTGGGGAGAGCGCGCAAAACGCAGGGACCAGGGCGGCAGGGGCTGGCGGTGGACGCCATGTCCTCCATTCCCGAGGAGGCCTCCTCCTTCTCCCCCTCCTCCTCCTCCCCTTCCTCTTCCTCCCCCTCCTCTTCCTCCCCCTCCTCTTCCTCCTCCTCCTATCTCTCCTCTATCCCTCCTCGTACGGACGGGTGCACGCGTAAATCCAAAGCTCATACCAAGTAAGAGAGTTGACAACAAATATGGAGGAGGTCTCAAGAAGCACTTAAAAGAAGATAGAAGGCCGAAGAGGGGGACAGGATGAGGGGAAGAAGGAGATAGGCGCTTCCGAAGACCCCAGGAGGCGAACCCGCAGAACTTGGCCATGCGGTTGCTGGAGAAGCGGCCGATAAGCGGACCGCCCGCTGCAGCTGCTCGCGATCTCCCTCGTCCTTCACCCCACTCCCGCCCTCCACGAAATCGCAAGGAAGCCCACTGCCTCAAAAAAAGCCCGCTGCTTGGACATGCAGGCGTGGGCGGGAAAGGAAAGAGACGCCGCCCCTGCCCTGTCCACGCGGGCCTCCTCAAAGGTGGCGCTGGACTTATTCAACTCGTCGGCGAAAAGGACTGCCAGCTCCTGCAGGGTCGCCCCTTCGCGGGCCCTGTTCTGAAGAGCAGCTTCAATCGTAAAGAGGCCAGGATTGCGGAGCTCCCCGTGGCGAGGGGCCCTCCCGAAAGCTGTCGGAAGTAAGAACTCGATAATCGGAAGAGGACCAGTAGCCGAATTATCCCGTGAGCCCACCTCCTTTCTGTCTTCGTCTCTGCGACTGCCGGTAAATCTCTGCGCGATGGGCAAGGAGGGCGCCCATGCGCCCCGCTGGCATCCCTGTGCCCGCCCGCCCCCCCTTGCACGCGGGTGCCCGTACACCCAATGGCGGCCCTGCGCCCCGTTGGCTGGCCAGGCCCGCGCCTGGCTCGAGGAGCTTCTTTGGTGGCCGGCCAGACCGCTGCCTGGCTCGAAGGGCTCCTCCTTGTGGTTGGCCAGACCATTGCCTGGCTCGAGAGGCTGCAAACTGTGCCTGGCCAAGCCCGCGCATGGCTCGAAGAGCTGGCTTAAGGGGTTCCTCCTCGCGGCTGGCCAGATCGCTGCCTGGCTCGGAGGGCTCCCCCTCGTGGCTGGCCAGCCCGCGCCTGGCTCGAGGGTGCCCTTCCCTGTGGCTGGCCATGCCGCCTGGGCGCTGAACGCTCTCTGGTGAGGCTGGCCAAGCCGCTGCCTGGCTCGAGGAACTCCCTGTGGTGGCTGGCCAAGTCTCCTCTTTTTGGCTGGCCAGGCCGCTGCCTGGCTCGAAGGGTTCCTCCTGGTGGCTGGCCAAGCCGCCGTCTACCTTTCCAGCTGGTCCACGATGTACCTCATCTCCAGCTAGGTCTAGCTGGCAGAGCACGCCAGCACGGATAATGAAGAGAATGTTTTCGACACCTACGAGGTGCTTTTCCTCCAAAGTCAGCTGCTCCCCGCTCGGATTCAGAAATTCGAACACAATCACAATGAGTGCCCTGTTCGCCCAGCTCTTCGCCGATATAACCAGATTCCCACAGCTTGGGTTCATCGATCGTATCCTGGATCTTCTGCTCCTGCAGAATATGGGGCATGCGAGTCTCCTCTGGCTGCGCTGCGTTCCCTGGAGTCGAAACACTGTCAGACCACTGCAACTGTAGCGCGCGATCGACCTTCTGCAACAGCTTGCTGTTAGGGTGTGCACAAACCTAGCTCCCTGAGAGATATTGGCACCACTGCTTCGCTAATTCAAGCTGCCCTGCAGCCACCAGCCTGCGTCGAATATCTTCTCCCACTGCCTCCTTGGACCCATCGCTGTGCGCCTCCAGCGAGTCCTCGCAGGTTTCGAGAACGTTGCATGCATCGCACTGCCGCGGTGCAGCGGCTTCAGAGTGCAGGCCAACGATAGCACCTGCCGCGGCTGCAGCCGCCTCTCTGAGCAACACTTCCCTGAGCTGCATCCTGCCAGCAAAACCGCTGATGGCCGCAAGCATCTCACCGAAGTGGTTCCCAAACCCTGAATACAGGGCAAACGAAACTTTGAAAATTCAAGTACGCTAAGCGGTTATAATACCGAGGAACCCATGTGAGTGCACACGACCCTCCTCCTCCTCCTCCCCCTTCGCCTCCTCCTCCTCCTCCTGCTCCTCCTCCTCCTTCTATCACTCCACCCTCCTCCCTCCTCCCTCCTCCGTCCTCCTCCTCCTTCTCCCTCCTCCTATCCCTCCTCCTCCTCCTCCTCCTCCCTCCTCCTCGTCCCTCCTCCTATCCCTCTTCCTCCTCCTCCTCCTCCTCCTCCTCCTCCTCCTCCTCCTCCTCTTCCTCCTCCTCCTCCTCCTCCTCCTTCTATCCCTCCTCATCCTCCCCCTCCTCCTCCTCCCCCTCCTCCTCCTCCTCCTCCTCCTCTTCTTCCTATTATTATATGTATTATTATTCTTCGTATTATTATTATTATTATTATTATTATTCTTCTCCTGCTTATTGTTCTTCTTATTAGTATTCTTATGTTTCTTATTATTACTATTATTATTATCATTATTATTAGTATGTTTATTCGTCTTAGTATTTGTATTATTCTTCTTATTATTATTAGTAGTATTATTATCATTGCTATTATTATTATTCTTAGTATTCGTCTTCGTCTTCTTATTAATCGTCTTATTATTATTCTTATTATTATTATTATTCATATTCTTATTATTATTCTTATTATTCGTCTTCTTATTCGTATTATTATTCTTCTTATTATTATTAGTATTCTTATTATTCTTCGTATAAGTATTCGTAGTATTAGTATTCTTATTCGTCTTATTATTCGTCTTCTTATTATTATGATGCTTCTTCTTATTATTATTACTATTATTATGATTATTATTCTTATTATTCTGATTATTCTTAGTATGTTTCTTATTATTATGATTATGCTTCTTCTTCTTCCTCCTCCTCCTCCTCCTCCTCCTCCTTTTCCTCCTCCTCCTCCTCCTCCTCCTCCTCCTCCTCCTCCTCCTCCTCCTCCTCCTCCTCCTCCTCCTCCTCCTCCTCCTCCTCCTCCTCCTCCTCCTCCTCCTCCCTGCTCCCTCCGACCCGGTGCCGCTGCCGATGTTCAGGAAGGACAGCCCCGGGGCGAGCTCCAGCGCCTGGGCGGCCGGGCGGGGAGCAGAGGGCACCCCGGCCTGCCCGCGCCGATGGCAGGAGAGGAGAGAGGCCACGACGGGACGGGCCCCCCCGGCAGTGCTCGGCCTCCGCGCCGAGCACCTCGTCGGGCCCGCTCCGCCGTGCCCCCCTCCACCAGGGGCCCGCAGAGGCGACGGAGGGCGTCAGCTCCTCCAGAGGGGGCACCCTTCTCGCGAGGGTCGCCACGTTCCGAGGTGCCAGGGCGCCCGAACCACGAAGGGCCCACGACCGAGACGACCACATACAGTCAACCCGCATCATGAGGATGCGCGGTGAGGATGCAGGGGCCGTGGAGGGCCACGGCGAAGCTGTTCGAGAGGGGCGCGGTCAACGAAAGCGGCCAGGGATGGGCCGAGGAGGCAAAAATGCGAGGGTACCCTTGGGAAGGTTGCCCATCCTTACTACGCGGGTTGACTGTACCTACCAGACCACCCCAACCCAACCCGAAGACCCAAACTTCGGGTCGGAGGGGAGGAGGCACGTGCTTCATATCTGTTTTTCCATGTTCCCCGACAACCCCCCCTCAAGAGGGAATGGAGGGGAGAGTGGGGCATTCGGGTTGGGTTAGGGTGGTTCGGTGGGTGGTGACGAAATGGGTTCGGAAAAATGGGTACGATGCCCAGCAGCAAATGCTGTTCAAAACCAGCAGCGGTCGCTGTTGGGCAGGCGGCCTTCTGCCTCAGATGGACAGCGTCCGTGGCGGCGCGGACAGCGAGTCCTGTTCAAACTGAACAGGCACTGCTGGTGGGCATTGTACCAACTCTTTTCGCACCCATTCCGTTCGTGCCAACTGATGGGTAGCGGCCTGTGCTGTTGTCAGGGTGGCATGCTCGGGCAATTGTCTAGTGGGGCAGAACTATTGCAAAAAGCACCCTTCAAAAAGCTCATCATCAAGTATGGTCACGCCATGTCGTGTGACGCTGTCACTCTATGATTTGAAAAACTGACTCCAATGCCAGAGGGCCCTCATGAAAGCGTCGATTTTTGCCCATTGGACCTCGCTCCCTCTCTGAACCTGCCCTACTTGACTAGGTGGCGACATCCGAACCCTACCCCCACCAACCATCGATTCTCCTGAATCGATGAGAGGCGGGGGTAGGGTTTGGATTTCGCCACGTGATCGATGAAATCCAAGCCCTACCCCCGCCGCCCAACGAGTTGCCTGACTCTTTGATTGGCGACGGTAGAGTTCGGATTTCGCCGCCGACCTGAGATCCTGGCGCTGCAACTTTTCACGCCGGCCGTCTTCGCCAGGCTTCGTGCCCCGGGACCACAGGCTGATGCGGCTCGAAAAACGCCGCAGAAAGGTGGGGTCTTGGGCTCTGGTCGTGCTTCTTCGCGGTGCTGCATCCTTTCGCGACGTCGGATCTCAGGCACCCCGAGGGCCGTCAAAAAGCCACCCGGGGTGCTCTGGGGAAGGACTCGGGACCTCTGGGGCCCACGGATGCCACGATATCACTGAAGTCTGGGGTCTGGGGGGGGGGAGGAGTTCTGGAGGAAGCTGCTGGTGGCTGCTTCTGGGTCTCTGCGGTGAAGCACCCAGACATCCGGCTTGAGAAATCGAGACGGCTGGTATAGAGCGACAGTAATGGTCGTGATGTTGTGCTCAGCGTGTCGCGGCGGCGGCCCCAGCGACACACCATGCCTTGCGAGCGGATAGCGTGTCGCTCCGCTCCCTGGGCCGAGAGGCCTCGGAAGACTCGGACCGCTGACGCCTGGGGACCAGGACGTTTACAGCGTGTCGCGCCGAAGCGTGGTGGATCAGAACGGGCGCTGCGACACGCTAAGCCAAAGTTCCTGTCGCACCCCCGTGTCATCCTGCTCCGCTCCTCCCTCCATCCGCGCTTCCCCCCAAAGCCGACGCAACCAGTCGGGTCAGCGACACACAGAGCATCCCCCGAGGCCTCTGGGAGTGTCTGCAGCCTCGAGGGCACTTGAGACAAGCACAAGATTCTGAAAAACCTCGATCCTGGCTCATCCACATCCTGGAGGCCTGGATCCTCCTGCTGGGCCCAACGCGGGCTCAAAAAGTATGAATGCGAAGCATAAGCAAACATCAAAACAACACAAACCCCCATAACAACAACAACAACAACAACAACAACAACAACAACAACAACAACAACAACAACAACAACAACAACAACAACAACAACAACAACAACAATAACAACAACAACAACAACAACCACAACCACAACCACAACCACAACAACAACAACAACAACAACAACAACAACAACAACAACAACAACAACAGCAGCAGCAGCAGCAGCAGCAACAACAACAACAACAACAACAACAAGAAGAACAACAACAACAACAACAACCACGACAGCAGCAACAACAACAACAACAACAACAGCAGCAGCAGCAGCAACAACAGCAGCAGCAGCAACAAACAAAAAAATACTCACGCTTGCCGTTGTGAGAAGGCGTGTCTCCCTCCCCCTTTCCACATCCACCAGAATCCAAAATCTCGCTTAAAGGGAAGGTATCCAGGCCCCCCTGCGCACCCCCAGAGACTCGGGAGCTTCCAAGTCTGCCTTCCGTGGCCTCAAAGACGTTCCAAGACGGTCCCGAATCGCGGATCGATTGGTCCAAGACGCCAACGATGGCTCCAAGACCCCCCAAGACGCCTTCGAGACGCCCCAAGAACCTTCCCAAGACGGCCCCGAGAGGCAAAAATGGACTTCTCTAGATTATTCATTGATTCTGGGGATATCGTCTTCTCGAACTTCCGACGCTCCAAGACAGCCTAAGAGGCCCCGTAGACCGCTCCAACACTGCCCAAGAGGCCCCTACAAGGGCCCCAGGACGGCCCAAGAGGGTTCCAAAGATCGCCCCAAGAGGGCCCCAAGAGAGGCGATGAGGGAGAACACGAAACGAAAATCCTATCTCTCCGCTTCAAGAGGCCCCCGAACCCAAGAAACCTCCAAGCGGCCCAGAACAGGCCCCTAATAAGCCCCAAGAGGCCCCCAGGAGTTCTAAAATAGGCCCCAAAACTGCCCTCGAGACGCTTCAAAACGCACCCAAGAGGCCCCGCCAGGCCCACAAAAGGCTCCCGAGATGCCCACAAGAGTCCCCAGATAGTGCCCAAGAAGCCCACGACGCCTCAACCGTGGACTCCCCGCCTCTTCTGGGGGCCGGCGGAGTGGCGCAAAACTCTTGAGTACACTGGCGAAGAAACCAACCAGATGCAGGTGTGAGTACCGCGAGGCAAACGAGACGAAGAAAGGGGAGCCCCCCTGTGGGGCCACGAGCCGTGCAAGGGGCACGCCGACATGGACATGCGGCGGGCGGGCAGCCGCACGCGAAGCCCCCTGGCACCGGGGCCTTCGGCGGAACTCCCTGCGGGGCCACGAAACGTGTGAGGGGTGTGCCGACATGGGCGCCAGGGATGCACGTGAGCAGCGCCGCTGGGCCTTCGGTGGAGCCCCCTTGCAAGGCTACGAAAGGTGCGAACGGTGTGCCGAAATGGGTTGCGAGGGCGGATGGAGGCGGTTGCACGAAGGCCTTCGGTGGAGATACCTATAGGGCCACGAAACGCGTGAATGGTATACCGAAATAGCGGAGTTCCCTACGGGACCACTGAACGTGTGAGGGGTGTGCCGAGCTGGATGGCGGGGACGCGTGCCGGGGGGCGCCACTGGGACCGTCGGTGGAGCTCCCTACAAGGCCACGAATGGCATTCCGTGGAGCTCCCTACGGGGCCACGAAGCGTGTAAGTGGTATGCTGACATGTCTGGCGGGGACGCATGCGAACTGCCCCGCTGGACTCTTCGGTAGAGCTCCCTGTGGGGCCGCGAAACGTGCGAAGGGTGTGCCGAAATGGGCGGCGGAGACGGATGCAGGCGGTGGCTCTCGGGCCTTCGGTGGAGCTCCCTGTGGGGCCACGAAACGTGTGAGAGGTGCGCCGATATGGGTGGCGGGGACGCATGCGAACGGCACGATTGAGGCCTTAGATGAAGCTTCCGACGGGGCCACGAAACGTGTGAGAGGCGTGTCGAAATGCGAACGGTACCACTGGGGCCTTGGGTGGAGGTCCCTATGAGGCCACGAAACGTGTGAGGGGTGCGCCGACATGGGTAGCGGAGACGCGTGCGAACGGCACAAGGGGGGCCTTCGGTGGAGGTCCCTATGGGGCCACGAGGCGCGTGAGGGGTGCGCCGAAATTGGTTGCGGGGACGCGTGCGAACGGCACCACTGAGGCTTTGGGTGGAGGTCCTCATGGGGCCACGAAACGTGTGACGGGTGTGCCGAATTGGACGGCGGGGACGCATGCGAACAGCACCACTGAGGCCTTCGGCGGAGCTCACTATGGGGCCAGAGGCAGGGATGGGAGGAGGGAGGAGGGAGCGGGAGGAGGTGGGAGGGACGCGGGGCCATGTCTCTTCAAAACGAGGACCCAACACCACAGGATGGTTGGGAATAAAGAGGCCCAGGGGGTACTAATAAACAGGGACCAATGCCAGGATCCCATATACGTTCCATATTTTGTGGGTCCTCGTACCTCCATCCATTTCTTTTACTAGAACCACGCGCGCGCTTCGCGCGCTCAGGCTCTAGCAAGACCTTGTTATAGTCTAGAGCGTTCGGAGTCGGGCGACAAAAAGTGTCACACGGATCGTGCCCCTCAGGGAGCTCCACCGACGGCCCTAGATACAGGCTTGGCTTAGAGTCCCCCCGCCCATTGCGGCACACCCCTCAAGGGATTTCCGCCTGCGTCCCCAGAGACAGGGTTCGCATAGTGGCACGCCCCTCACGCGGATCGTGCCCAGCAGGTAAATGCACCTACGGCACCAGAGGCAAGCTTCATGGCGTCACCCGGCTTACTTTGGCACACCGTTCACACGGACCGTGGCCGACAGGGAACTACACGGACGGCACCAGAGGCAAGGTTCGCCCCCCCCTGCCTACTTCGACACACCTCTCGCACGGATCACGACCGAGGGATCTCCAG